CTTGCACAATAATAAATATTGTTAAAAAAAAATTTATAAAAATATCGTACAAAAATAAACTTTTTTTTTTCATTTTTTACACAAAAATCAAGCATTAAAGAGAATAGTAATAAAGACACAAAAAAAATCAAATCAGGTCAAGTAAGCATAATGGTGTGCACGCAGATCTAGGTCAAGAGGCCTACTTCTGCTTCTCTAGCATTTTCTTTTATTATTCAATAAAGCTTTCTGCCTCCAGCTTCTTTTCTTTCAAACACTCCCACCTTCACAGTTGCCGCCATCAATTGCCGACACCCAAAACTAAAAAAAAAACAAAAACATTTTTAATTCCTTCCAAACTATTCTCCTCCAAACTCCAAAGTTCCAACTGCTCTCTGAAGTCTCCCAACCCAGAAAACGCTCACCTATAGTTCATCGGTGGCTATCATCTACCAGAAGCGTAAAATCCAATCAATGTCCACTGCAGCCTTCACCAGTCGCTGCCATCCGATGCCAAAGACCACCTCTGCCGCTGCCTGAAAACAAGTTATCACTGTCAAAATAGCCAAGGAACTTCCCTACTCTCTAGCTTCTGCATTCCACCTCTGTTTGCTGAATGTGTCGATTATAGGTTTGGTAGGTTTCGGGTGTGGGTTTGATTTTCTAGGTAGTGAGTTTTTTTGGGTTTTGTTTCTGTATTGAGCTTTTGGTATTGCAGGAAATTGGTGTTTTTTAGGGTTTGAAAGTTGTGTTGATTATTGGTTTATTTGGTACTTTTGGGTTACTAACTGATTCTGGGTTGAGGCTTTGGTGAATTTTTTTTGCTGCTTGTTCTTGCTTGATACCTCTTCTAGTTTGCACGACTGTTGAATGTGCTCTTTTCTACCAATTTTTTCTTTGTTAAATTACCGATTATTACTTCTTGATTGATGTTTGATCCCCTCTGTCTTGCTGTATGATTGCTCGATCTCTTCGTTGACTGCTTATTAGTTTGCTTTTCAACTGATCTCTGTCGATTCTTGCTTCTTCAATTGCAATTTCCTTCTGCCTTTGAGATTGAACTATTTTTCATTGCCAATTGTTTTCCCTTCTCATCGTGATCCTTTTCACCAATTTTTTCTTTTATGATCATTTGATCATTTCTATGGTGCTGAATTTGTAGAGAAAACATCCCAATCATGAAAGAGTTTCTAATCAATCAGTTTCAAATCAAACGAGTTTCAACACTTTTAATACTTTACCAATTCTTCTGGTGAAGTCTCAACAAAACAAATCTCTTTTTTTTTTTTTCTTTTTTTTAAAGTAATAACTCTAAACTAAGTACAATAAAAAAATAAAATAAAATTCAAAACCTATTCGTGAATTGAACTCAAACTAAATGGGATGTTTACAATTGTCTATTTTGTGTATTTTTTTGTAAAACAAGCAATATGTAAAGATATAGACATCCATTTCTTCTAGATTTGATACAAAGAAAAAAAATCTAAAAATTCTCATTTACAATAAAGATTCGCATTTGCAACTGCAATTCAAAAGTTTTCAATGATAATTCAAACATTCGCAATTAGAAATTCAAAGATTCTTAACTTGAAGTTCAAAAGTTTGTAATTAAACTCAAAGATTTTTAATTTGAATTTAAAAGCTTGCAAAACATTCAAAGTTCTCCTAAAAGTTTAAAGATTCACAAATAAATTGAAATCAAAGATTCACAAAAGTTTAAGATTTGCTAAAAATTTAAAATTTTAAAAAATTCAAGATTTACAAAAAAATTCAAATATTCGCAAAAAATTCAAAATTCTCAAAAAACTCAAAGATTTGCATAAGATTCAAGATAATGATTCAAAAGTTCGTAAAAGATTCAAGATTCATAAAAAATTTAAGATTCGTAAAGAATTTAAAAGTTTTGCAATTGTAAAAATTTGCAAAAAATTTAAGATTCATAAAGAATTCAAAGTTCGCAAAGATTCAATATTTGTAAAAGTGTAAAATTCAAAGATTCACAAGTAATTCAAAGATTCACCAAAGATTCAAGAATCACAAAGATTCAAAATTCGTAAAAGATTTCAAAGATTATCATTTGAAAATTTTAAAGATTTATATCTAAACTTTCATAATGTTTAAATTCAAAAAAAAAAAATTTAAGATTCACATCCAAGATTTCAAAAATTTACATTTGAAATTTTTTTGAAGATTTAGATCCAAGATTCAAAAGTTCACATTCAAAAACCTTAGGGATTCATATCCTAAACTTAAAAGTTTGCATTCAAAAATCTTAGATATTCACATACAAAATTCAAATGTTTGCATTCAAAAAATCTTATAGATTCACAACAAGTAATCTTAAAGATTCACATCTAATAGTTTTAAAGATTCACATCTAAGATTTAAAAATTCACATTAAAGATTCATATCCAAGATTCAGTAACTCACATTCGACAAAATTTTAGGATTCACGTCCAAGTAGTCTAAAAGATTCACATCTAAGAGTACTAATGATTCACATCCAATATTCAAAAATTCACATAGAGATTCATATCTAGGTAGTCTTAAAGATTCACATCTAAAAGTCTTAAGGATTCACATTCTAAATTCAAAGATTCTCGCTTGAAAGGTTCAAATATAAAATTCAATATATCAAGAATTCACATAAGAGATTCTCATCTTGTGACAAAAATATTTTTTTAAAAAGAGGTGATAAACTTTAAAAATAAAAGAGCTCTTTAACCAAGGTTTACCAAATCTTCTTGAAATCATTTTTTTCATCTAAAGGTTTTAGACTTCATTTTCATAATATTTTTCTCATATAAGGATTAAAATCTTATTTTTACAAAAATATTCCTCAATTGGGGATTATTATCTTACACATTCTTTCAAAAAATTTTCCCATCGAGAATCAAGTCATATTTTTCAAAAATTATCCCTCACCAAGGATAAAAATTAAGTAAAAACATTTGACACTATCATTAATTATCATTTCAAGATCCAAGATCATAACTTCTTATCAAACAAATTACACGAATGTAATGTTTATGAATGTAATGCATGAATGCAATGTCATAAATGAAACTCTAATCATGGCAAAAAAGTTTTCAAAATCCTTTCAATGCCTCTCTTTAACTTCCAAGTTTTACTTTTTCATCTTTTAGGCAATTACAAATGTCCTATGATCTCTTTTTAATCTCATCATTCAATTTCATCATTCATAATTTTTCTTTTAAGCTGCTAAATACTAATAATTTCATAATTAACTTATAAATTTCATCAACTGATCTATTTTCATCATTTGGTCAAAACTTACAAACTCTATTAACTGATCCATTGTTGTTTTCATCACTTGGTCACTATATCTGCAAAATATTTTCTCAAGCTTTTTTCTCCTTTCTTATTTCATTTTCTTCTTTCCTTTGTCATCCTTAGATTTCTTTTCAAAGGAATGCAAGAATATTTTATAAACATTATCATTCATTTATTTATCATCATTTCAATTCATGACAAATTAAATACAATCATACATTTCCTTAATTCATTTTGGGAATACAAAATTGGTAAAGAACAAGAAAAATTGAAGGAAATGGGTATTCATTATTGAAAAGAATAAAAGAAATCTGGTAAAAAACAAACAAAAAATGAATAAAAGCAAATTATTGTGATTGTTTAGATGGGATATCAACATTCAAATAATGAATATTTAGATAATTTTGAATTCTAATTTAGAATTCTTTCTCAAAAACTCATTCTATTAAATTTTCAAATCATTTTGAACACATCAAACCTTACCCTAGTTTAGTAGAATCTTTAGATAACATTGATCTTTTCAACTCGAATATTTTCTTACCAAATCACTCTTTCGAGTTTTCAATTTGAATATTCGTTTTCTGTTTTTTTTTTTTTTTTTTTTTACATTTTTTACATTTTTCTCTATTTCATTTTTTTCTCATTTTTTTTCACTTCATTCATTATTGACTTCGCTATCTAATTTTAGACCAATCCCAAATAATGGAACAGATAATGATCTCATTGTCCTATCACAAGCATGCCTTAATTCAATATCTAACTCTTCAATTCAAGCATTCATATTTGATTAAAATGAACTTTTAAGGGATATAACATAAACTAAGGTGAAGGGTTATGAAAAAAAAAAAAAGATAGAATAAGCCCAAACATGTGCTTGAAGGGTTATAGATTGAAGATCATTTCATCATTTAAAGTAGCAGGGCATTTTGCCCCATTCCTTCACATTTCTTTTTTCTTTTTATCTTTTATTTTTTGATCTTTTCTTTTTCATTAGTTTCTCTTCAAGAAGAATTTACTACAAAGAATTCTTTCTACTTTACCCTTAAGATAATTTGTGGCATTCACCTTTCTTTTAATAAAGGGTTTTTTCAATATTTATCTTTCAGACCTTTTATGATCTTTTTTTCTTTTTCTTTTTTGCAAACAAATCTTTTCCAAAATTTACCTCTAATATAGAAGGTGATCCTTGATTAGGATTTTTTTTTTTTAAAAATATATATATATATATATATATATGATATGCTCAAAAAGGTAACAAATGGATAAATTTCAGTTCCATGAAAGGTAAAGAAAGATGAATATTTCTTATATCAAATATGAATACTTTCTTTGAAGACCATTTATTAAACATAGACTTACTTATGGATAAATCATCATAAAAGACCACATGCTAATGAGACATCTCTAGTTTGATTTTCAATAAATGGTCAAATAATCTTCACAACTTGCTTTGGAACTCCCTTTTACACAACTTGCACAAATAATCTTCACAAATCAAGTTTATCAATATGAATGAGTTCCTAAAATTGAATCCCATATTATAATCATTATTGTCTAAATATTCACTATTTGAAATATGAAAATAGGTATAAAAAAAGGCAAAAGAAAATAAAAGCATATAATAGCGATTCACTTGAAAGAAAAAATGTCATGAAAATGCATCCTATTTGCCACTTTTATTAAAATGATAAAAAATAAAATCAAATCCTAATATATAAAATAAATCTTAGCATTATCTAAAAGAAATTCTAAAATAACAAGCAACTTCAGATAACTCTAACTTTCTTTATCATTCTCAAAATTATGCCTCTATGTGGTTAGGCAAAGGGTTTTTTACGATGTTCAACCCATCTGGCTTAGCAAAACTCACCAAGCTTACTCTAATCAAACTTTGCTCTTTGTGCTTGAAAGCAAGACAACTTTTTATTGAATGTCTCACATTCTTATTGTGATAATCACAAGCGATATTGGCATCATATCACTTTGGATAAGGTGGCTTTAACGGTTCTAGCTAAATAGGTGCTACCAAGTCATTTTTAACAAGCTCCGAGAATAACTTAGTATATGTTCTTGGGATAGGATCGATTTGGGCTCTTTCTTGATTGTTTCAAAGTCTTCTCAAACCATTTTCTTGGTTAGTGGGTTTAGCAATTGGAGTAGTGATAGGGCAATGCACATATGTAGGAGGCTAAAAGGCTGGTTGAAAAACTGATGTTGGCACTAACTGATAATAAGTTATAACTACTTGGGCTTGGTGCATTGGGTGGTGGTAATATGGGATAAAATTTTCAAATTCTTGCCCTTGATAGCTTACGGCTTGAGCTTCACTTTCCTTTTTCCTAAGTGCATTGACTTTCTTTACATTGATAACTCAACTCCATCTAACTTGTCATTTTTTTATTGTGTTTTCAATAATTTCATCAGAAATCACCATGTCAACAAAGTTTTTAGTAGCATTCTCAAACATTCTTTTGTAGTAAGGAGCCTTCAAGGTAGTGACAAACAAAACAATGGTTTTCTTCTCAGTAAGAGGTGTTTGAACTTAGGCAATTATATCTCTCCACCTTTGTGCATACTCTTTGAAAGTTTCAGTAACTTTCTTTTTCATATTTTGTAAGGACAGTTGATCAAGGGTCAAGTCTATGAGATAGTGATAGTGAGTAATGAATGACCTTGCTAACTCTATCCACGGTCGGATGCAAGTTCTATTAAGCTGGACATACCATCTAGCAGCAGAACTTGTTAGACTGTCTTGAAACACATGAATTATGAGCTTTTTCATCACAAGTATGTGCAACCATCTTGTGGTGTCAGTCAAACAAAAATTCTCCTAGTGAAGTCTCAGTCAAACAAATTTTTTTTAAAAAATTAATAACTCTAAATAAAAACAAAACAAAATTTAAAGTCTAAGTCTGTCTACTTGAGCAAATTAATCAATGTTGAATGTTTGTTGTATCTGGGTTTGCTTAATGAATAATAATAGTAATTAGTTGCCCTCATAATCGTATCATTGATGCTTTTTCAAATTCATGGTTATAATCAGTTTCATGAAATATGGAAATAGAAGCTCAACATACCATTGACTAAATCAAGGAGTTGTGCATTAGATTTATAAAATGTGTTTTAAGGTTAAGTAATTTCAATATAGATATATATATATATATTATATTTAGTCGAGTCAAAGTTGGAAGGACTTCTATCCTTTGAAGTTGGGTTTCATAATAAAAAACTCTTAAGTGAGGGCAAGTCGAAGATCAAATAGAGATGTAGGAAGATCGGATCGAAAGTGGAGCAAGCAAAAATCCACCTAAGATGACCCATTGACATTCCTAGTTCTAAGAAAAGTTCACAAATCAGCATAAAGTGCTTTAATGTAAGCTGAGACTGCCATTTTTTCTCCGGTTTGGATGTGCGGTAAGCGATGAATTCTTAATACCGCAATTCCATACTTGAAAGCAGTTCTGCTATTCTTGTTTTTGTTTGGTCTCACCTTGCCAGCTGTAAAACTAAATACCATCCAGAAAATAAAGACAACTTAACAAATGGTTTGTTACATGCTAACATCGGAATTTTAGTTTTGGTCAGGGATGATTAAAGAACTTGTATTTTATGAGTTTTGCGTCTCTGACTCAACCTTTCTAAACCTAACTCTGATTTTGAAAGAAGTTTCTCAACTCAAATACGTGTTTGTGTATAAATATGTATATATATATATAAATATATATATGCTCATTTAAATAACCTAACTATAAAACACATTTTATAAATCTAATGCACATCTCATCGATTTAATTATTGAGCCTATTTTTACAAAATTCATGAAATTGAATTGTACTTTTCCTAAATTCACGAAATTGAATTATAAGCATGAATTTGAAATAACGATCAATGATATGATTATGAGGACAACTAATTACCTGCTATCATTCACTAAGCAAACCCCGATACACCAACATTTAGTGGTGACCAATTTTTAAATCAATGATGATTATGAGGGCAGTTATACTGTAAGTGAGAAGTACATTTACTCACGATCATGGCATATGGAATTTAAGCCACCACCATTTCACATGTCGATGGATCGCCACATAATGAATCCTTACAAATGTTGCATACCTTCTTAGCACCCTCAATGATATGTACGTTTCATAGTCTCAACAAAATCAACGTTGCGCTGGAGCTCTAGCAACTTTCGTAGACTAGCTCGTTCTAGGACTCCGTTTCGCTTTTCGATTCCGTTTTGACTTCAACAAACTGGAATTCAATGTTGGTGGGCATGACTTGTTTGGGATTTTCCGACAATTTTTTTCTTTTCATGAAAACTTTTGGCACAAGTGAAACAAAGGAATAGAGTGAGGCGGAGGAAGCTGAAGATAAGATAAAAGAAAAGAAGTAATGGGTAAACCCTAAAATAATATTATATATCTAAGGATATTTTGGTGAATATACCGAGTCGGTTCAGGAGCATGGTGGATTTCCTCTAAAATCACCTACGATCCGACCTTGACCTCAAAAAAGTAAAACTGCCCCAATGGCCGAACCAAATTAAAAAACGATCCGAAACGGTTGGATTGAAAACCACGAATTAAAGTTAGTCTGCAATCCCTACTTAGAACCAAAGAAGGGAAATGAAAGAGTAATAAACCATAAATAAACAAACCAAGTAACAAGAGAACTTAATCAGCACAAACACCGCATAAAGCCTACATGAAGCAAGAATGACCATAGAATCATCTCAAAACTCGGGTCAACGTGTTTTAGTGTTCTAATTTTCCTTCTGGTTTTTCATTTTAGCATACTCCTGAAAGAGGAAGAAAAAAACACTAGAACTGAGGAGAAAGTAACTAACACGTAATTTATCTTTTTGGTTTGGATACTCTTTTCAGAAGCTTATACATGCCAAAGACATTCTTCTGCTGCCACAAGTATGGGATGAAAAATGACCGATACTTGGCAGGTGAGAGCTCCCTATCCAAGTAAGGCAGCGCTGCAATAGGCTGAAACAGGTGCAATTTCAATAAATGATATGAGAAGAACAACATAAAAAGGGAAAAATGAAAAATAAAATAAAAAATACTGCTTTTACCTCCCATGTCGATAAGTCATTTCCACGATAAGGGTAAGGTCGGTTGAGCTGCAGCTCGACCAGGAATGTACAAGCTTGAAGATCCTGGAGCTAAAATTAATATCATGCGTTAATTGGTACAATGGAAAAATATACGAATGTAATAGCATAAAGATTAAGGTTATTCCATACAAACTAGTTTAGAGTAAGGGTTAATTACATATTGCTCATCTGATGCCTTGTTTTTATTGTTAAAATATGGTGGTGCTGCTGAAGTCCCGCCCAGAGTAGCATTGAAAGGGAAGGGAAGAAGGCCTCGGAATCCATCATCAATCCATCTCACTTCACCAATATAATTAGGAATAAAAAATGATGATGGGAAACGATGCCACTCACTTCCAACACAAAGTACAGAACCTGCAATCATTAAAATTATTTTTCTTTATATCTTTCCCATTTACCTAGCATCTATAAAGCTTTTGATCCTGTTGATCACATTATTCTTCAGGATACATGTCAAGCATAAGCAATTATATAAATCAGGAAAATCTAGCAAACAAATCTATCTATGAAACTTTTAGTAGAACTACAAGGCAATTGTTAAAAAACAGACAATTGACATTAGTAAAGAACAAAAGCTAAATGCATGAGAAAATATGTTATGCATTCTTAAGAAAGTTCTGCATAAACATAAATGTCAACGCTAAGTTACTGTTAAAAGAAAAAGCCATTCATCTTTGTAGATCCAGTAAATTTTCAGATATGAAACAACAAAATAAACAAGCTACAATTTAGTGCATCATGTAAGAAAATATTGACTATTCATTACCAGTTCCTGCATCATCATGGTGCTCCAAAATCTTGTAAACCTCCAAAGGAGCAGCATAACCATTGATCAATGAAAATGTACGTGAATGTGAGGCACATAATATGAGGCTGAGGGCCACAGGTCTAAGAATTTTGGCTGTCTGCATAAACATACCAAGAAGATTTGAATGAGAGCTTAGTGTTCTTGAGATAGAGAATCAAAGAAACGAGAAGATTCCCACCATAACTATAATAGAATTATTGTACGGATTATATTTGTCTCGGAAAAGATCAGGAAAGCTCTCAATGACAGCTGAAGCAGCAATGCAAACAAGTGGATATATAGGATAAAGGAATCTGCACTGACAATTAAATATAATGGACTGTTACAACTCAAAGCGGGCTAGATGGATGACAAAATGACAATCCAGCAAAAACTCAAAGCTACAAATTTCTTTCTAGAACAGGATTAGCTGTTCAAAGAGCAAACTACAGGTTGTTCAGGACATGCAAAAAGGAAATAACAAATATGCTGCATTCTGTTCCCGTGCAGAACATATCATGCCAGCTTAGCCTAAAGCTTATGGGCCAAAGCAATTTATAAGCCCTCCTTGAAAACTTCTAAAAGTCATATATCAGAAAATTCTTTATTCATTTATCCATTTTATGTCAGAGAAAAGAAACAGGAAAGATAAAATATAAACAAAATTTCATAAGGACATGTAAGATAATAAAGATTAATTATACCTTTCTTCTTTGTGCAGTTGCAAAGACATAAAGGCCAGCCAGATATAAAGAGGAGAGATTACAATAAACAGGTCTGGGGCATACTTCTTCCTTGCAATTGGTAGAATTCCCAGAAAAAGCAGAGCAAAGATGAAACAGAAGTTGAAGTTGTTAAACCCATTCCTTATATAAAAAAGTGGTCCCTCAGTCCCGTACAAATGGCTCTCACCACCTCCTAAGACATTATACATTAAGAGATTAAAAACAGATGATGTCCATCGTTGGTAGTAGTAGTGATCAACAAGTATGGAGAATGCCTGGAGAAAGAACTTCAATTATTCACAAATGAACAACAAATGGAAAAACAAAATATGAATCAACTACAAATATGTTAATGTCAATCACTAAGTTAAGATATCAAAATCATATATCCATAAAGTTTACAGATAATAACCAAATTTGATTAAATATACTTACAAGAAGGGCGGTTGAGGTGACAGCACCAGAAAGAAATGCTTGTTTGAATTGTTTAGCTAAAGAGGACAATGTGACTGGAAGAAATGCCAAGATGGAAAATGGCCAACCTAGGATTACTCCCACAGCTGCAACTGCAACAGCCCATGCAGGTTTCTCAAGAAGGAATAACCCTGATGAAAGGCTCATGGCATACATAGAGAAAGAACTAGGCAGAAAACCTGGAAAAAAAATTTCACAATAATAAAAATAAAGCAATCTGAGAGAAAAATGGAATTTGTTACGTATTCTCATATAAGACAACTGCATTTAATGATTACTTTGTTAGAAGAAGCAGAAATTCTATGAAAACCAACAAGGAAAAGCATGAGCATAAAACTTATATCTGCATCATGGAAATTGAAAAAGGAGATGGAAAAAGCCACTCACTTGTGCTGGCAAAGAAACAACCACTAGCTAAGCAAAGCATTGCAAGTGCATAAGAAGCAAGGCGTTTTCCATACTTTCTGGAAACTGCTACCACCAGAGTGGCATCTGAAGTAACAGAAAGAAGACCAAGAAAGAGTCTCACAGCATAGAAAACTCTCACCTGCAAGATCAATAAGCAAATATAAAGATTGATCAAACTAAAAAAGTAAAAAAATTAACATCTTAGAAGGCTTGAAACTTACTTTTTCATCGGCATAAAGCCAGGAAGCAGGTTGACCAACTAATTCGTGGAAAATAATGTACAAATATGACCGAAGCGCAAACTTAGAACTGCAATGGACATACAAAAGTGATAACTGCCTCAGTGAAACAGTTACTGACAACTTAGAAGTTAGAACCATCTGCCAACGATGACAAACTATTTTCCAACTAGCAGTATGAATGCATGATAAGAATGTTTTTAACTAAAAAGGATAGACTTTAGCCACAGAAGTTTTGATAACTAAAATAAGGTTGCAGATTCATGCTCCCATATAATACAAAAATGCATCTACAGAAGAAGGAAACAAATGCAAAGCAACCAAATGACCATATGTAACTACTTTGCAGAAAGAAATATACCTTTTCAATTCACTTACAGCCCTAATTCCAACCATGTCATGCATTTAGATTTTACCTGAAAAATTCAATCAAAATCCATTTCCAAATACATACATGGCAACACAACAATCCCAACAAAGTTCATTGATAACCTCCATTCAAACCTATTTTGAACAACATCTAGCCCAACCCGGACACGAGCATGTCTAACACCCTCATATATATATTATATAATATATAATATAAATGCATAGATCCATAAATCATTTGTATTTTATGTATCACCCAGGAATATGAGCTAACTTCACTTCTTACTTCAACAAGTAAATTGAAATAAATAATAACAGCATAAAATTCCCCAAAGAAATACATTTCCAATTACTCACCAAACAAAGCTTAACAACCTCTACAATCAACCCAAAAACTTAAGGCACCCTTTCATTGTTTTCCATCCAAATTCACATAAAGAAAAAGTAACAATCCAAATACCCTTACAGATATATGTCTACTTATATACATATATACCGTATAAATATACGAGTAAATTTGTTTGTACAGAGAGGTTTACCTATACTCCCAAGTTTGGAAACCGGATTTGTAGAGAAGATAATGAAGAGGCTCCCAATAATTGAACACTTCATCGCAGTCGTGTATTATATTCGACGAGGCGCTCATGTACCGTAGCATTCCCAGCGCAAACAACACCGTGAACCACCCCAATCCGCGGTCGTTTCCCGACTCTTCCCCGCCGTCCGATGATGATCGTCCTGGCTTGTCCACCTTCGAGTATGATTCTGGTTCCAACGGTTGTGATGACGATGATGATGGAAGATCCAACGGCGAGGATCGCCTCTGCCGCGTCGAGAGTGACATCTTAGGGAAATTTTTTTTTCTTTTAGTGTGGAGTTTTGTTTTGGGGGAAGAAAGGCTGAATTTTCAAAGAGAAGTCCCCCGTGGCACTGATGCTTTTCCTCTTTATGAAGTCAGTTTTTACGTTTATTTTATTTATCATATGGCCTTTTTAAAAAGAAATTGTTTAAAAAAAAGTTATTATTATTCAGTAACATTTTTAAATTTCGTAAACATATTTATAAAATTTACATGTGTTTATTTAAAATTTATATTAATTTAAAAGCATCCCAATATTTAGTATTTGTCCATATTATCTTTTATTTTTATTTAGATATTGTTTGCTAATGTTTTTTTACATTTTGTTATGTCTTTAAATTTTTATTTTTTTTTATCTATTGCTTTTTTCCTTATCAATGTACAAATTACATAGAGTTTTCCCCTTTTTTTTTTCTTTATTTTTCTTTTCTTTTGAACCTCATTTTCTCTCAAATAGCACATGGATGAGAAAGTGAAGACTTTACTACAAAAATTGATGAGGTGCTTCGAATCTAGATTAGAAGAGTTGCATAAAGATATTCAATCTGATTTCAAAAGTATTAGTTTTCAACTTAACAAAATATTTGTTAGACTGGATGATATTAATGAAATGGTGAGTGACTGGGAGTTAAACATGAAAGATAACCAGCAATCCATGGAGTTAATCGTCAAAATCTCCTGCTTTTCATTGTCCTTAATTTTACATGAAATTGGTAAGTCTTTGCCCTTACTTATGGGGGTTAGTATAGATTCTAAAACGTTTAATAAATTTAAGTATAATGAATTATCTTCTAAAATGGATATCAAATGTGTTAAATGTTCAATTGTTTGTGCTTTTATGCTAAATAATGTGCAAACCTTTATTGCTTGGAATAACATTAGGTTTGTTAGAGTACTAAACACTGAAAAGCAGCTAAACCTTTCTTTGTAAGGGATGTTGATGCTTTTGGAAAGCTTGATAAAGGTCTTTCAATGACATTTCTTATTAGAAATAAGTTTGTTGTTTTATATGATTCATACAAGTTTAGGCTTTTGGTAATGGGGTTGAAAAGTAAAAGTGTCATGTTTATCTTTGATATTTATGCTTATTATTTGATTAAAACAACAAGTGATAGAAAGGTGCATTATGGTAAAATTTTAATGGTTGTTAATCTTGGAGGTCTTCAAGAAGCTATTACCAATTATGTGCAAGCCATTTATGTGTTTGGCAATGACTTGACAAAGCCACCTCATGTAATACCTTTTGCTTACTTAGATGCCACCATTATGTTGCTGAGGCAACTCTTTGAGAAAGAATGAAAAATTGAACAATCGATAGTTTTTAGATCTATTGACCTTGGCTCTAAAAGAGTTAGGTTGGTTGGTCTTGGAAAATTAGTTTCATTTTCTATTGTTTTTCATGGAATTGGTGAGACTTTAGCTATAACTACAAAGCTTGCTTAAGTTATAGTGGGGTTTTTATCATTGCCTTTTCAAAAGGTTTTTTCAATAAAACAAGGCTCTATCCTACTTTAACAATAACTTGGGAAATGGTGTTAGAAATATATGAAAATAATCTTAAATATGATGAAAGTTTTAGTTTTAATACTGGATCAAATTTGGAAAAAGAGCTCAAATATGCTAAAAATGCTTTTTATGCTATCATATTTGGAAGAAGGCTGACTCTTAATATTGATGGTTGCAATATTAAGACCAAACTTCCATGCTCGATTGAAGTTATGGAAACTAACATGGGAGAGTTACTTGTAAAAAATCCTACAAAACATCAGGCTATGACAAATTCAATTGATACACTTTTTAAAACCAAGTGTTTGATTATCAAAGCTCTTAATAGAGGTATGTAGGTTGAAACAAATGACAATAATATTTTTATAGCCAAATTGGAACATTTATGTTGAACGAGATAAAGAAAATTGATGGTAAGGGAATAATCAATGAGCTTACTACTTCTGCCATCTCATATGAAAAAGCATCAAGAAAAGTCTCATGCTGTCTTTGATCCTAATGATGATACATTTGATATTTCAATCTTGTATTATAATGGTAGTGTAAATGGTAAAATGATGCTTGCTCAGGAAACAATTATGCGAAGAATTTCTTTAGTTGAAGTAGTCATCGAAAGAATATATATACCTGTGAAAGATCTCTTAAGAGGGAACAATATGGATAAATGGATTAAATTCCTGTATGAAGACAAAAATTCCTTGAAAAATGGTGCTAAAATCCATGTGAAGCTTCAATATTCTAATACAATAAAAGACTGCAACTGGGATTGTGGTATCATAATTTGGAAACTTCTTGGAGTTCCATATACATTTTATCCACAGAGTCGTGAAGGTAAGGTTTCAATAGACCAGGATGCTTATATCCTAGATGGATTTGTTCTTAAAATTCACCTTGCTATATGCAAGTATTTAGAGCTACATAGATGTTAGAAAGATGTTTTTATGGCATTAATTATGCCAAACATTTTATCTATATTACTCATTGGCTTGTTTATACTGAGATTACTTTGGTGGGAGAATTAAGAAAGCAAGAGCCAAGGGAAGACATTACTTTGGAAAACAAGTGAAAGTGTTAAAGTTAATATGCTTATTTGGAATGAAAAAAATGATTGCTAGCTAGCTAAAGAAGAATAGGCTAATAGCCACCTATGGTGAGGAAACTAAAAACTTTCTTCAAGAATAACTGTGTCTTATGCCTTCGTAATCCAGATGATGGTGACAATTTTGTTCAAGAATTACAAATCTCTACCATAATAACTCATCATTAAAAGATTGTTGTAGTGGGTGTTGTTTTTAATTGTTATGTAATTTTTATGATTCACCTAACTGGTGTTCTTATTGCTGTAAAAAATAAGCCAAATGATGGTAGCCAACCTAAAGACTCAACTTGGGAATGCTTGGCTAAACTGGAGCAACAGTTTTAAGCTATAATCCTTAAGGACAAAGATGTTCTTCATGGTGGGAGTATTGTTTTAGGTCAAATATTATTAGATTTTAATTATGTTTCAGCTATTTTATTTTAATGCCAGGTTATTTTACTGTATGTAAGGCCTATACCTTAGTAAGGCTTGTTAAGTTGCTAAATTCTATTACTCCACTCAAGTATGGAGAGGTAGAAAATGAGTGTATGTGTGTTATGATTTCGAGAATTTCAAGTTGTAATTGTTAGGTTGTTAATATGAACAAAAGAAAGGACAATGGCATTATACTAGACATTCTATTATAAAAAATTTACAGATGTTCTTTCCTCTCTAATATTCTTCTCTCTTCTTCTTTTTGTTTCTTCTTCTCTCTTATTTTTTCCCTGTTCTAAGCTTACCTCGATATAATAGTTTCTGATTTGCATCAGTGAAAAATGACTACTAAATGACTTAGATAATTGAGCCTACATAGCCTTATTTAATTCAAATTGTAGCAACTACCTCCCCATCGAAATAATCTTTGTCCTAAAGGATTGAAGCAAGAAAACTTTTTTTATAGCTCATATAATCTTTCCTAAGTTGCATTTTTTATATAACTGTTACTCTACTATACTAAAACCTCTGTGATTGCTCTGCCTCTTTTCTTACTGAATCTTCTATCTAAAATTGTCACTGATTTCTTGGTCACCATTCCATCTACATCAATCATAAGAAGATTAGATTATGTTGGAACCTTTCTAATGTGCTTCTTCAATTGTGAAACATAAAAAATAGGATGACTTTTGGCTTCAACAAGCAATTCCAATTTGTAGGCGACAGGTCTTATTTTTTCCAACACTTTATAAAGGTCAAAGTACTTAGCAACTAGCTTAAGACAAAATCTGTTAACAATATATTATTGTCTGTATGGCTAGAGCTTAACATAAACTAAATCACCGTCTCAAATTGCTTATCAACCTTATGTCTGTCAGTTTATTGCTTTATTTTATTTTGAACCCTATTCAAATGAAATTTTAAAAGTTTGATTATGGCCTTTTTTGCCTACAAACTTCTATCCATTTCATCCATTTTAGAATCTTTAGGCAGATATGGTTGATGAATGGGAGCAAGTTGACCATAGACTACCTTATATGGTGTAGTCTAAATGAAAGTATGAAAACTAGTGTTATACTATCATTTTACCAAAGAGATTTGTTTCCACTAGTGCTTAGGTTTTTGTCTTATCATATACCTTAGATATGTCTTCAAACATTTTGTTGAGCACTTCAGATTGTCCATCTATTTGAGGGTGATAAGCAATGGACATTTTTAGCTTGGTTTCCAATAATTTGAACAATTTATTCCAAAATGAACTAGTGAAAAGCCTATCTTTGTAAAAAACAATGGTAGTAAGTAACTTGTATATATTATCTAGATAGGCTTAAACAACTGTAATAGCAGTGAAAGCATGAGCCAGTATAATTAAATGGGCATATATACTTAACTTGTCTACTACCACTACTATAACATCTTTCTCAAATGACTTAGGCAACCCTTGTATAAAATCTATAGACACATTAGCCCATGTCTTATTAAAAATTGGTAAAAGTTGTAACAAACCTGGAGAGATAGTTTCATGAATACATTTCCAACAAATTATGCATTCTTTAACATGCTGTCAGATTACCTTTTTCATTCTTTTTTAATATACCACATTAGCTATTCTCCTCATAGTTACCTTTACTCTAAAATGCCTTTTATCTACTAAATTATGAAAAAATATCTATAAGTCCTTCCTTAACTCAAAATTAACTCCCATCATAAGTTTTTCCTTCCTTATCAACTGACTTGCTTGCCAAGTGTACTTAAGAGATTGTCTTGGGTTATTTTTGAGCTTATGCAATAAATGTATCAACATTGAATCTTTTAACCAAGACTATTTAATCTTGGCCATTAGATCATTAGTTATAAAAGATAAAGCATATAACAAGGCTACAAGATTTTGAGAAAAAGCATCAACTACCATTTGGTAGAGCTTTTTTTGTAAAAAAGTTCATAATCAAATCCTATCATCTTGATAACCTAAAGTTGTTGAATAGGCGTATTTGTTTTCTAGTCTAACAAAAATTTGAGACTTTGGTGATCTGTTTTTATGTAGAAATGCCTTCTAGTTAAATAAGCACTCTATTTTTTTATTGCAACTAATATGGC